CAAGGATTATGATATGAAAGAAAGTTTGAAACTCATGATTTACAGTACATAATATTGGGAGGAGATATTTCAGGCTGTGTGTCTGTGGTATAATCCCAACCAATAATAAGTTAATAAGTAGTGGATCAGTATCTATTGCTACAGTCATGCCACATAATAAACAACCACATGAACTCAGTGATCCAACACAAAGGGCTAGTTGCTCACCGGCCTGAGAAGTCAGCTGGAAAGCATGTTGATGGGGGCTGGCTGGCTCACACCTCTGGAAACCAGTAGGCTATCAACTGATCTCAGATCTCAGTGGCTGGGACGACTCTGCAGCCTGTCTTACTCGGAGTGTCCCTTCTCTTCTAGTGGACTAGCCTAGGCTTTTCTCTTGCTGATGGCATGAGTGAGAGGATGTTCCAATTGTGCACATCCTTTTTAAGCTTCTGTTTGTGTCATGTTTCTAATTTTCCATTGACCAAAGCAAATCACTCAGCCAAACCCAGAGACCAGACAGGAAGGCACCCTGAGCTACCTGGCAAGAGTGTGGGCTGTTGTTAACGCTGACTGCAACACTGAACAGTAAGGCCAGATTTGCTTTGATTGAGCCTGTCCTCGGGATTGGCCAACCTTGTGCCTAGAACTCCAGAGGGTATGGGGAGAGCATTTTTTGCCTTGTAGACTAACAGGTAGAAAAGGTACAGGTGGTAAGCCAGGAGACAGGCTAGAAAGGGGATACGGGATGTGAGTGTAGAGACCTGGCATCTCCAGGGGTCAAGAACAGCTAGGAGGGAGGGTATGAGAGGAGCTACCAGAGGGCCCTGTCCTTGGACAGGAGGGAGGAACGTCTTTGTCCTTCCAGCCCTCTTCTCGGTTCAGAAGGGAAGTTTCAATCAACTTGTTCCAGAAACAGGAAGACATGGTGGTCCCATTTCTATTGTAGAAAGAAACCAGGCTTTAGTCTTGATGCTAACCAGTAATGCATCCTTAGGCAAGTCATGTACCTTCTCTGGTCCTCCGTTTCCCCACTGAAAAGGAAGGGGGGTGACTGTGTTTGAGGATCCCTTCCAGCTCAGTCCTTCTCTGCCTCTCTCCCAGTTGCTTTGCTCATGGACAGAAACGTTGCTTATGTTCTAACGCTTCCCTCTAGTGCCGTGGCACTATTTTATCCTGATTTTATAGGTCAGGAGGCTCTGAAGCCAGCCCAGACCTCAGGCAGAGAGGCTACCTGGTGAGTGGCCTGGAGGGGCAGAGGACAGGTTGCCTGTGTTGGGATCCTGGTTCCAGCAGTTAGTTATGGGACACTGGGCAAGTTCCTTGACTTCTCTGTAATGCAGCTTCCTGACCTACAAGATGGGGATCAAGTCAGTACCACCCCCCTTAAAAAATTATTATGGAGATTACTGGAACCCTGTAGGTAGCCCAGAGGCTGGCTCACTATAAGCTCAGTGAAGGTTATATGTTAGTGACAGCTTTGCCTAAGGCTGCATTAATTATTCTTAAACGGAAGCCACTTTTTTGATCTTCCTTCTCCTAACATGGCTAAAAAGGCAATCATGTTTAAAGCCGTGGCTTACTGGATTTTGAAAGTTCCCAGCAGAATCACCCCGGACTTTGTTCTTTTCCTTCCCTTGGTTGTGAGATAATCTTTTTTCACTCAACTGCTTCCACCAACTAGTGTCATTGGAGAACTCCCCCTAGCCTCCCCTTTTCCTCTTCATTAAGACCATCTGCCATGTGATCCCCTAAATTCCAGCCCTGAGAACTCCCTAAACCTTTTTGAGTTACTTTATCTTTCTGACTCTGAAGGACCACAGGATCCTATCTGTCTGTTTTCTGAAGCTGTAGAAACAGCCATTCAAGGAACAGATTTCCAAAAGGATACTTTATTCGATTAATTAGTCAATTCCCTTGTCGTAGAAGTGAAATTATCCCTAAACCATCCCGACTGAGAAGACTCTTGCAGCTAGAAGCAACGAGATACTGGGTTTTAACAATAGGAGAGCTCATTTGCAATGCAAATGAGCTACCAGCAGGCAAAAGATCTCTTATGGGAAAACCACTCTGATCATAAAAACCACTTGCTTTGGGGAGACTACAGTGTAAGGACAAGCAGAATCATAGCCCCATGAACCCCCTCGAATAGAGAATATTAGAGAATTATCCAGGTAGTTTTCTAGGAAATTGCATTTGAGTAAAGCAAAACTCACTGATGGGCAGTAGATAATATCTTTAAAATTTGACTCCAAAATTGTGGATTGAATTATTTATGGTTGTCATTATAGCTATGATAGTTTGGGAATAAAATAGTCAGGCTTTTCTCTCTGTTTTTATTTGTAGGAAAAACAAGTCATTCAAGCTTTTTAGTGATACAATGTGACTTGCTGTCGACGGCAGTTAGGAATTTCGAGGCTTGCCAAGCACAGGAGTACCCAGAAGGGACATATGTTTTCTCTGCTTTGTGTTCCAAATTTGCCTTAAAAACATGCAATTATGTGAAGGCCTGATTTATATTTTCAAGGAAAAGCACAATAATGGCTCTGTTTTGTAGCTGTGTTTCTCCAAAACGTATTTATATTGCTGCCTTTTCAAAGGAAATTGGCTAATGATCATTGGATTTTCACTTTCCGTTGTGACATATGAAAATTTGATGAGGTCTGTGAGATTTAAGAACTGTTTTCTTAAGTGCGATGGAAATTTAGTTAACAGAGTTTCTCACTGCAAGCCTGAGAAAGCTTCTGTAGTTACCTTTCTTCCATTTCCTTATTTTTGTGGACATGGGGGGAGAAGGGGGGGCAGCAAGCACATGTATTTGCAGCCAGGATGGAATACAATGACCAGGATGACAAAGAGTGAATCCTGGATGGTTTGCAAGGCTGCAGACATGTTATGAGTGTAAGTAGGAACCAGGTGGGAAGGGTGTTTATTGGCGATGGAGGGATGGCTTTGGGGAGCACTTGTAAAGGAAGAAAGTGAAGCTTTGGGTTACATGTTATGCTCGTGAAAATTACTAGAAAGCCCTTTATAAATTATATAACCACACAGGCTACAGATTTCATGCCCTTCGTTACTGTTATTAATAGTGGCTTTCACTTGACTCAGCAGCATTTCTAGTCAATTTATTGAGAAGATGAGTTAGTCTCTCTCTGGATTGGGGAGCCCCCTCCTGGGGGGTCAGGCAATTTTTTGTTGCTCATTCTTCTCTAGTAATAGGAGGAAAGGTGAAAGGCCAGGTTCACATTATAAGGTGGGTAGAGTTTGTTTGCAAATTTAAAATTTCAAATTTTTATGATTATTTAAAATATTAAATTATTATTATTTACAAATAAATACTAAAATTATTATAAGTGTTTTATGATTATTCACAAATAATTATAGAACTTCAGGAAACTTTGAAACTTAGGGAAACATATTTGGGCGACGGGGTAGAAAGATTGTTTACAGTAAGGATAACGTATATGCAGTATGCTTGATTGCATTGTACAAATTTGGAGTAGTCACTTAGTTTAGGACTATGTCTTATATAACATACACACTCATAAAGTATTTATACTGCATATTTAGAATTGTAAAGGCTTGGAAAAATACAGTGTTAAAATTTGAAATAAGAGTATGTCTTCCCTATACTTTTCCAATGTTAAGAGAAATAATATTCAAATCCTTAAATATTGTTTCACTCCCTGGAATTCACAACTAGGGCGCAGGAAAAGAGGTCACGTGCTCTTAGAGGCATTAGGCCTCAGATTCAGGTACATGTTTTTCTCATGTGTGTGAGCTCAGCAAACTCTCTCATCTGAACTTTTTGGGTCTAGAGAAGGTTGAACCAAGAAAACTCTGACTTTATTCAAGAGTAATATCTTTTGTTGGGTAAGAGAAATGGCTCCTCAGTGTGATGGAACCATCTTTCACACATACTTGAATACAAGCGATCTTTACCTGAGTCAGCTTTTTAATATTACCCTTTATTTTGCCAGAAGAGCCCTACAGAGCGATTTTAAGTAGAAACTTCAGGGGGAGTGTCTTCCCATTCTAGAGTTAGGTTTCTAATTTCATTCTTCAATGAAAACACACTGAAAGGTAATTTTGGATCATTCGAGACAGAATTTGAAAGGTGCTTCAATTTAATAAAATGGTGGATCTCCCACAGGCTTTGGAGTCAGTCTGAGTTTTATGGTAAAGGAAGCTTGGAGGCTAGTCACAAAGATTTCAGAACATGACCCTATTAGGGAAATAGTCAGTTTCCTCCCTTGCTGTTCTCCTCAGGCCTTATGAAAAGTTGCAAGAACATCATAGTTTCTACCTACTGATGACAGTTTATTCATTTATTCTAAGCAAAAAGTTTAGGGATTTTCATTTATAAAAGCCAGATTGCTGGGATAGTAGCTAAGAGACTAGAGGTGAGAAGGAGGCATCCTCTGGGGATCTGTTTATTGAGCTAAGGACAGGTGACTGAGAGATAACCAGTTTCTTGAACACCAAGAGTACCAGAACCTCTGGCCAGAGCTTCAGAAAATGTACCCTGGAAAGAGAGATCACAGATCAGTTTCCCCAAGGCCTGCTGCTCGTTCAGCCTGGGTTAGATGGAGCGGGGAGCGGAGGTTAGAGCTGAGGGCAGCTGCAATGCACAGGACCCTGACAGGGAAGAGAGAGTCTTCAGGACCTGATGAGGCAAAGAATTTTCCGTCTCCCTTCATCTCGTTTCAGCCCAGTGCCTGATCTTCTCTCTCCCAAGTCAACACCTCTCCTCTCCTTTCTTCCTCCTACGTCACCATCGCTTCCTTCCTCCCAGCCCAGTTGAGCCAACCCTACCCGAGAACTTGGGGCCGAGGAATCACTTTAACTGGAGTAGAGACCAGGAAAAACGAGGGCTGGAATATCCTAAGTGTTGCTCAGAGGCTCAGCTATCTCATTGGCTCACAGAAAGAGAGAAATCATGTGTTTCCAGAAACTGCATTTCATGGGCATCACTGTTTGCATTATGTGCTTTTAATTTATTTTCTTTTTGTTTTGATGAGATTGAACATCAAGTGACCCTGGAAGAGCTACAAAACTTAAATGCACTCTTTCAGGTAAGAATTGGCCAGGTGAGCTTTCCAATATTCATCTGGGTAATTTGATTCTCTCTTTGATGGTTGATTTTCCAGCGAAAGGTACAATCCTTTTAATTCTTACCAAATAGCAATAAAGAACAAATTGTTCTTTAGTTGTCACTTCTTAATGGAATTAGAAACAAATTGTGAATGCATCAAAGAAAGGAACAAAAGGAATAAGGTGTTGGAAGTTGAGGTGTTAGAGTTTAGGTAAGTCTAATTGGACGTTTAGTTCTTTGGATCCTAAGCTCTTAGACTAAACAAAATGCAACCATGTTCATAGCTAATTATTCCTTTTCCCTCCTAGGAGTATGAAAGGAGAGGAAGAGAGCTGCTGGATATGGAAACTTTCAAATCCATAATGAAATAGAGTATGAGGTCACAGAATAAAGTAAATGGATTTTATAATGTTGGACCATGGAAACCACACTTAAAAATGAACCATATGAACCAATTACATTGATGTTCTATCTGTAAGTTCTGAACTGTAATTTCTGCTAAGACCTATCCAATTTACTGAAGTTTACATGGGAAAAGATTTTTAAATTACCGAGTATTCTAGACCACCAAAATATATAGAGACTTTTTTTGAAAGGAGAAAAGTCTCTTATTAGGTGCTGATTATTCCTCTATGTGTTGTTCCCAAAGATTTTGGACCCATCTCCCACCCCTGACCTGCTGGATTTTAGTATTTCAAATATTCTCTGACATCTTGCTTAGCCCAGCTGTTAGCTCAGAATATGAAATCTTAATGAATGTCAGACTATTTGAGCTGCTATGACAAAACACCACAAGCTTGGTGGCTTAACAACAAAAATTCCTCACTGTTCTAGAGGCTTGACATTTGAAACCAGGGTCAGAGGAGGGCCCACCTCCAGGTCACAGACCTCTGATTGTGTCCTCCCATGGCAGAAGGGACTTGTAGGGTCTCCTGTAGAAGGGTACGAATCATATTCACGAAGGCTCCACCCTCATGACCTAATTACCTTCCAAAGTCCCCACCTCCTAATGCCCTCACATCAGGCATTAGGATTTCAACAGATGCATTTGGGAGGGACACCAACATTCAGATCGTAGCAATGAGTAAGGTCATATTCCTAAGGTAAAAATACGTATTATAATAGGAGATGCTGCTTAAGCTCTTCTTGCTAAGGTTTCAAGATTGCATCTTACATTGTAGATAAAAAATTATTCAAAGTAATGATCCTGCCCCTGGGATTTTAACAAAAACATGCTCTTGACACCCTGTAGGTTGATGAGGTCCCCAAACTGTCGCTTCCGAGTGCAGAGCCCTCAGTTTTGATGGCTATGGAGAAAGTTAAGATGTGTTCAAAGTTTCAACTGCTGTGAGAAATGATCATTAAATTGCACCTATTTTTGAAAAGTCTCCCCTCCATGTGTGTACTACTAAAGAAAGAACTTCTGTTTGAAAGAGACAGGAGTGTTTTACATGGATAAATTAGTAGGCATTTTTACTATATCCCAGGTCTTTTTAACCAAAGCAGACTATATTTTTAGCATGCCTGCCTGCCTAGCCATCTGCTCATTCCTTCACTCTTTCATTCATTCACTCGTTCATTCATTCAATAAATATTTCCTGGGGCAGTATTCAAATTTAGTAAGTATTTACTAAGGTTTTGTGCTAGCCCCTGTGGCACACAAAGTCAGCCAAGATGTGGTCTCTGCCCTTGAGATCAGAAGCACACTAGAATTAAGCATGGGTGTATGTGAACATCTAAACCACACCGGGGGCCAGGAAGGCCTATGGGAGGAGATGAGCCTTGGACTGCCCTTTGAGGGATGAAGGAAAACACTCATAAAGCAGGGCTACACAGAAGAAATTTACTTGAAGATAATTATCATGACTTACACATATTTTTGTCTTAGGTTCCATCCAGGTGAAGCCCTCACCATCCCAGCGGGTCCTCAGAACTTGCTTTGCTGTTATCTCAAAGTGGGGCCCCTTGACACTGTCCAGCCTTTGTCTGGAAATGACTGGAATACAGTTCTGACAAAATAGGGCTTTATTTCAAAAACTGAAGTTCTAGGAGATCCAGGCTCCCACTGGGGAAGAGTTTTGGTGTCAGTGTGCTGAACTCCAGTTAACAGTCTTATTAATGTTTTGGGGCATACATTCCAAAGATTTTTGAGTATTGTGCACTTTTGGTCATGAAATTCATAAATTGGAAAAATTAAGATCTTTCCCTCCTTCTCTTTCTCCTCCCCCAACAATCTAGTGAATAGTTTACCCTTGTGAAGCCTATGAGCTGATGTATTTTTTTTCCTTTCTAGAGTATTGAACAAATAGAACAACTGTTCATGAAAATAGACTATGAAGCAGTGGGCTGAATCCAGTGGGTGAGTTGGGTTATGTTTCGTGAATCAAATTTGTAGTAAGGAAAATGTATAAAATGTTTGTTTGTGAGCCTGTTTCTTTCTGGAGTAGCTTCAGCACCTCTGCCAACTTGAGGTTGAATCGAGGGGACATGCATGTTCGCAGTTTTCAAAGTCTTGTAATGTTGCGTTATACTTGGAATGGTTTAGGGATTTCAGGACCTAAGGCAAGTAGTAAGAACAGTTTTCTAAAACCAGGGAGTGAAGGATATTTCTACCACCTTACCCAAAAGCAAAAATGAAGACCCAGTGAGCAACTGACATCTGATGATTAAATTCTCAACAATTATTACCATCGTTACTATTAACATTACCCATTTGGGTTGTATAGTGAGTGATGAGGAGCTGAGACACCTGCGTTTAACATCCTCTGGCCATTGTGTCTGTCAGTGTCCTTCTATTATTCTAGAATGAATTCAGTTCTAAAATGACAAACTGAGCATAAGACACCTCTTTTCAGACCTTGGGCCAATTCCCCAACCAATCAAATACATGTGTTTTCATTGTCATCTGATTTGAAAAGGAACAGTCCAGATTCCAGGGAAGAGACGGCACACCTCTAGTGAAGTGGGGCTTTGAAGAAAGTGGAGAGAAAAGAAACATTTCCAGGCCCTGCAGCCCTCCCCGCCCCTTTGACCAGATTTCTTTTCCCTGGTACACCGCTGAGACTCTAAATGAGGCGTATGTCCTGGTGGGTAGGGACCCGCAGGCAAACCAATGGGGGCTTGAGTCTCCAGCCAGCCACTTAGTAGTTGTTTGATCTTAGGCAGATTAACTTTTCTAAGCTTGAGTTTCCCAATTTGTAAAATGGAAAGAACAATAGTTCATATCTAACAGTTATCAGCAGAATCGAGATGAAGGTCCTCCTCACATGGAACATGTGCACACTCCATCCCATCTTCCTCAACATCACCTCCACCTTAGTGAGGGAGACCAGGAGGGGAAGGACCCCAGCAGTGGGGAAGCAGACTTCCAGCCCCAGCTGAACAGCCACACCTCAGTTATTAGCTCCGAGGTTTGGGCAACCAAGTTCATACTGATGAACTAGTTCATACGTCGCATCCAAGAAAGGACTCATCCTTGCCCTGAAGATAAAGAGAATTTCTGAAAGCCAGAAAGACAGTAGATGTTGAATGAATTTCTCTTTATTCTCCAGGATGGCTTCTGCACATACCTGCAGCTACAGTATTCAGAGCAAGTGGAAGCCTTGACCCGACAGAACAAGGTTTCCTTCCAGCCCCCTGCTGAGCTGCAGGGGCTGCCATACGGGAGTCCCATGAAGCGCATTCTCTCTATGCCCGACGACACCTTCATCATGACCAGAGAAGACGGAGCAATTTATTTCTGGTCCCTGCAGCTGAAGTTGAAAAGAAGAAAGAGGGTTTTTGTACGTGATTTTCATTTGATAAGGATGCTGAGTGCTCCAGTTTGATTTTATTTGCTATTTTAAACTGCTCCTCAAGTGGCATGATTACAGAAATTGTGTCCTTGAATATGATATATGCATGCTGGATTTTGCTAGCCTATAGAATGCAAATAATATAAAATACCATCTCTATATGTAGGACAGGATAAGGCTTCGTTTTGTTGCTGAAATCAGATGGAGTGATGAATTAGATATGATTCCATCATGTAATTTATCGTGTGTCTTAATGACTGACAAATGGAAAGGAATTTTCCATTTTTTCCTGTTAATGGTTATTTCGGTTCAGGTAGTTATGCTAGGGTTTCTCTTCACAGAATTTACTGAAGCACAGAATCAGAAATTCAGAAGACAAAAAGCATTTTTTTGTGTGCACTTAGGAGTGGAATAAAAAGCAGACTTAGGATAGGAATAAAACTGTGACCCATTCCAGAATATACTCTATCTTCAAAGCCATTCTTTTGTTAATATATGCAACACATAGTCGAGCCTCTGACACAGTCCAGGCTCAATGCTGGGTACTGGGGAAACAGAACAGGAACCCACCTCTGTCTTCAGGATATTTATTCTCTATGCTGGAAGTTACAGTTATCCTAAACCCCCTAAGCTGCCAAATAACCCCTCCCTAGAGAGAGGGAATAAAGTTGACTTTTCAGATCTAGTAGCCAGTTCTTTATACTTGAAGGGGAAAGCCAGCTATGGACAATTCTATAATGCTAAGCATGCTTATTACGGACAAGGATGGCTTGAGACCACTGAAACTGTCTGATCATTAATAAGACATGCATTTGTTTGTTTTACTCTTCAACCTTTTAGGATAAGTGCACCACTCGGAAACCCAGGTGGGTGACAGATGTCATCAGCATGCCGCAGCACAACAAACTGGTCATAGGGACTGGGTAAGTACCTGCCGTCCTTTAACCAGGAAGTGAACAGCTGTGTTAGGAAACTCACTTCCATGTGTGAATTTACACAGACACATACACATTTGTGGTGTGAGGGTCAAGCCATTTAAAAATCACCCTTTTAAAAAAATCCTAGAACTTATATTCAAAGCTACTATGCCAAGTAATGGCTTTGTTGGGCCTGTTGTAATGATGTCATTGCCTCCAACACAGATGGAAGCCCTCTTTTGGAGTACTTCCAGAATGGAGTATTTCTCACCTGGGCCAAATGAGAAAAAAAAAAATCAATCTTAAGGCCTTGTAGTACACTTCATTTTAAATTCAAAATGATATTCATTATTTTATTATCCACCAAAATTCAGTCCAAAGTGCTTTGGGCTGATGCAAAAAAATAAAATCCACAATAAATAGATGGTGATACCCACTGCAGAAGAACTTCAGAAGAATGGGCTTCAGGCTGGTCTCAGAAGACCCCCAAAGGGTTTTTGGTCGACAGCAACCTAGTGGAAATGAACGTGCAGCGCCCTGGCGCGGCTTGATGAACTTCAGCGATGGGCAAGGGAGAAGGGGGTGTGGCCTGGTGGGAAGTAAATTTGGAAAATTTTTCACTCAAGGTTAAAGCAAAAACGAGTTCCACCCTGAACCAGGATGGTCTGTGACCCAGGGGTGGGGGCTGGGGAGTAGGATGCTTAGCGCGACTCCAGGGGCGTTGCTAAGGGCAGGGGGCGGGAGCTTGAAGGAGGTTCCCACGCCCCCACCTACCTCCTCCCAAACGCAGAGCTAAGGGATTTCCCTCTGCAACCGGTCTGCTCCACCAGCCCCGGGGTCCCTAGGCTCCAACCGCCCTAATGAACAAACAGGTCATCCGACCTCTGTCATCCAGGCTCTTAAATACGATTAAATGTAATGTTATGTTTAGTAATTAAACATGTATTTATTAATATATTAGCATGTATTCATATAATGAATACTAACTATTAGAAAGAAACCAATTTGGGTTTATAAGTTCAGCCCAGTTTGATTTTAAAAGTGCTCAGGACCTTTGTCGTGTCTTTTACACACAAGTTCGGAGACTGAACAGTAACTGATCAGAAACTCTGAGGTAATGAATCAGACGACGAGGCAGGCATAGGACCCCGAAGGCAGGGAACCGCTCACACTTCACGGCAGGTGAAAAAGGAGAAAAAAGACATTGAATGGTGAGTGAAAGGCGAGGCTTCGGAATTGAGAGTGACCCCTGTGTTCCAGGTGAGCAGGTTGAAGCAGGAAGTTTTCTGTCTTATGCCACCTACTCGTTTCTCTCTCAAATCAGCTCAAAGGTAGACAAGCTAACATAGGAGGAAGGGGGTCAAGAGTACAGGTCAGGAAGCTGGGAAATTAGGGGAGCACGGTGTTGACCCCACCATGGACAGAAAGAGGCTCACCCCTCCTCTGTGCAGCTCTAACCATCTTTATTACCAGCAGCAAGCAGCTCACACGTTTGAGTCCCAAGCACTGGACAATCACTTTCTCCCATGTCCAGTCATTTAATCCTTGTAGTTCCCCTGTAAGATAGGAGCCGATAGGATCCCCATTCTACAGATGTGGGAACTGAATGGTGACTGGGGTCTGATGTCCCATCTGCTGCCCAGTTGTGGAAAACCATGCCAGCCTCTTGGCGGAGAAGGACGGCCCCACAGCCAGTTTAGACCAGGCAGAAGAGACGTCCCCACGCAGTGGAGCTGGTGAGGGAGACCTCCAACTCATCTGGAGGGGCTGCTCAGTCGGGCAGGCATTCCGTTGGGTGCGCATCTCCGTTTCGTAGAATCCGTGTAATATAAACAAATTCTACAGAGGTGAAGGGGGGAGCTTAAGTTTACTCCAAGTATGCCTGATCTTTGAACAGAAACCGTAAAATCCAGCTGTATGAACTCTCCAACATGGAGCCTTACTGTCCGATTGGCGGCCTGGAAGCTGTCCCTCTGAAACTGGACTGCAGGTAAGAACTGGGCCACGGCCAGGGAGGCCTCGTGGATGCCTCCCGTCTGAGCACCGGAAGCTTCCTGCTGGTCTCCTTGGGCAATCATGTCCAGCTGTGTCCGATCAGAGGATGTCGGGGCTCCCATACTGTGTCATGTCTGTGTCACACAGTGCAGTAGTGCCCAGAAAGCAATGACCTTCCTGCACCGTCGAGGAAAGTGAAGCCCAGAGAGGTGAAATGACTTTTAATCATGAGATTGATTGTGAATTCATCTAGGTTTTAGATGTGACTGGGTTAGTTTTCCTGAAACTCAGCTCTAAACAGGTTACTTTGCTTTTTAGTGGTGGCTAATCCCCTCCACAATAATATCCACCCTTTCCCACCCCTCTCTTTCCAGCCTTCATCCCCACAGAATCTTCAGGCCTCCCAAACACCACCCTCACTAAACAGAGATCCCTAACCCCTGGCCAGGCCACACCACCCCTGAGGCTGTACCATTCCCCGTCCATCCACCCCACCATGTCTGCTGAGCACCTACTATGTCCCCAGTGTCACTGCAAATGGGGGCACACACATGAATAAGACATGGTGTCCAGTGGCTCTCACAGTGTTACTGGGGGGCTGGTTCCTGCTGACATCCTTCCATTCTTCACAGCCCCAGTGCTGTCTGCATGGAGTCCCTTGAATCTCCTTCATTCCCGGAAGCCGAAGTGCCCCTGGAATCTTGCACAGCCTTTGCTGTGACAGTCCTGCAGGTCGCTCAGGGGCAGGTCCTGAGTAAGTGGCTGGTGGCACCACCGAGTCTAAGTCTTTGCAGTGTGCTCTCTGACACCACACCACCTGCACATAGTAGGCTCTCAAGAAACGTTTGTTGAATGAGCAAGTGAGAAACCTCTTGATTAAGTGGGTAAAAGGAGGCTCCAGTTTTATTCTGCCTTTTCCTTCCCCCCCCCTTCCTTTTACTTCTCCTCTTTATGAGATGGAAGACGTGTAGCTTACTCAACAATTTCAGCAGAATGCCCTTCATTCAGTTCTCTTCTAGCCATTATCTTGTATACTGAAAAATATAGAGAAAGTTGATGGACTTAGAAGAGAAGCAAACATGTCACCAAATGGGCTCCCACAGCACAAAGCAGGGGAGAGACAAGCAGACCACAGCCCCTTCCCCGGTGCTGTCCCTTCAGCCCGCAGCCCACTGCAGGGCGGCTCCTCTCCAGGCCACGGTGTCCGCCTACGCTCTGAGGAGGGCCCGGGTGGCGCTGGGGCCTTCCTTGCACTAAGGGGGCCCTGGCACTTAGACTGGCCCCCTGAGGGCGGCGCATGATTGAGTTCTGGGACAATTTATTGCCTTTTACTTAAGGCATCTTCGCAGTTTCCTGATAACGACACACTGAGTTATCACTGCTTTCAAGAAAGACCTCTTTAATGAAAACAGAAAAAGACACATGTCCTCCAGGAAGACTCATTCGTGCCCAGCAAAGGGAGTGCAGCTCAGCCCGCCAGTGCTTGCTCCTGCCCACCTCCCACCCCCCAGACCTAGGCACCCAGCAGTGCAGCCAGGGAAGGCAGGGCAAGCCGATGGGCTCAGATCTCAGCGCCTTTACTCCTCTCTGGGATCCGGGCAAAGCCATGTCTTCATTCTCCACCTCGGGTGGCCCGCCCACAACTGGAGGTAAGACTTGCCTCACGGGTCCCTAGTGGAGATGAAATGCCTACCACAGATAAAGGCCTGAACACAGCGCCCACGGAGCGGCTGCTGCACACACTGAATTCCCTTCCTCCTCTGACTCCAGCATGCAGTGAGCAGCGGGACACTGCTTGGTGGCACTCAGGGCTTCTGTCCCTTCCGGGCTCTCTCAGACCCCTCCCATTCCACTGCCTCCCTGACTCTCTGGGACCAGCCTCTCTGGCCTCATTCAGCTCCTCAGACTCGCTCCGCCCTCTCCCATTTCAGGACCCGTGCACCTGCTGTTACCTCTGCCTGAACCACCACGCCCCCCTCCACACCCACCTTTCCCTTCCATTTTCAATCAGTCTCTCCCTCTCTGATGGCCGTTTCCTAATGGCCTTATCTATCTATGTCACACTGACCCTGTTCATTTTCTTTATTGTGTGTGTCATGGGCTATGAGTATACATGGTCAATTCTGTCCATTACACTGGGCGGATGGGGCCACGTCTGTCTGTTCCCCACCATAAACTGAAGACCTATCACAGGGCATGGCACATAATAGCTCCTCAATTTTTATAAAAAGTTTTTTTAAATGAATAAGCAATCAAAAACTGAGATGCTGATGTCCAGTCTCACAGGGTTCCTGGCAGTTTATCAGAAGTCTTGTGCCTCAGTTCCCTTGTCTGTAAAATTGGTAAATGAAAGTGGTGCCCACCTCACTGGGAGGATAGTATTTGTCAAGTTCTTGCCTGGCACACAGAAAGGGCCCTATAGATGCTGATTTCCATTATCATCATGACTGGATGAGCTCTTGACAGGGGAGGGCTGAATGGAGAATGCCCCAAATTAATAAAGGTTCTGGGGTCACTGCGATTCCCGGAAGTGACAAGTACCTTGTTCTGCCCCAGGACTCCTGGGACTTGTAACTGTGTATGTATATATGAGGTGGCTCTTCGCTATGGGGTAGGGATTCAGGACACAAAACACAGAGGACACCTAGCCTTCCGGGAGCACACAGTGGTGACTGTGAATGTTACTCTGCTTGCAGCCGTAGCAAAATGCCACAGACTGGATGGCTTCAACAGAAATTGATTTGCTCACAGTTCTGGAGGCTAGAAGTCCAAGGTCAATGTGCAGGGCCATTCTCTGCGTGGCTTGCAGGCAGCCACCTTCTCACTGTGTCCTCATGTGGCCTTTCGTTGGTGTGTAAGGAGACAGCTGTTGGTGTCTCTTCTTACAAAGACAGTAATCCAATCATGAAAACCCCACCCCCATGACCTCATCAACGCTAATTACTTCCCAAAGGCCCCATCTCCAAATACCACCTCACTGTGGGGTTGGGCTTCAATATGTGAATTTGGGTGGC